ATGCAAGTGGATGGCTGAATTGCCACGTAAATTAATCACTTCGTGGGGGGAGTTTATTACTTCATTTCAAGTGCGATTTTTCCCTCCCTCGAAGATGATGACTCTTCGGGATAGCATTCAGAGCTTCAAGCGTCTAGAAGGTGAACCAATCCATGGTATTGGCTGCGATTCAAGAAGTTGGTGCGTCAATGCCCAACTCATGGCTTGCCTGATAAAGTGTTGCTGCAGTGTTTTTACCCAAGTCTTGATTCGCTACATAAGGGTATTTCTGACCTACGTTCTCCGAGAGGATTGATGTAGCAACCTTATATAATAGTGGCTCAGCTCTTGGATGACATGACTGCCATAAACAGGGCGTGGTATACCCATGAAGTCCAGGTCGCCCCTCTCACGTTTAAATTGACAAACAACAAATGGAGAAAGACCAAGAGAGGGACAGGAATATGGCCAAGATCACGACACAACTTGACATTTTGTCCAAAAATGTCATGGGGGCTGCTGCTTGAGGTGTTAATGTCGTGGTTATCGGGTGTGCTAATCGTTAGGAGGCAAAGTTTGAAGCCTTATGCAATGAAGAGGTGAATTTCCTAGCAAACCAAGGCAGTTGTTATCGTTAAAACTAACCAAGGCAGAGTGGTAACCAAGGTTGGAGAAGAGATGAAGGTTGGAAAGATCGTGACCGAGAATGGAGGGACCGAAATCCCAATTTGAAGGATGGGGAGAAAGATAGATATGTGCCTCCCCACGAGCACCAAAAGCCAAAGGATTTAAAAGGTGGCTAGTCTGAGGATATGCTTTCTCGTATCCTCAACAAAATTGAGGGGTCAGATAAGATCTTGAAAGAGATGAAAGAAGACGTGCCGACCCTTAGCCAGACCGTCACTTCCCATTCAGTGTCGATTGAGTTGTTGAAGACCCAAATGGGTCATATCTCGTCTCATCTATACATGAGATAGCAAGAGCGGTTGCCTAATGACACTATGGTCAACCTTAAGAATGTAGCTTGAAAGTGAACTTGCGTCGTGCCACGACGTTAACTAAGGCGCTGCTTGGGAGGCAACCCAAGTTTTATTTTCTTTCTTTTTAAGTTTGCAATAATGGTGTGTTGAATGTGCATGTCAAAGTGTGGAAAGTGTGTGAAAAGTGCAAGTTGGCAAGCAAGAGGTATAGTCGGTGGATCGCCGAAGAGGTCGGCAACCCCAACCCAGACCGCCGTTGGACTCAAGACAATTCTACATTGGAGTCTATAAAACTCGGCGATCAAAGAAAATTATTGGGAAGTCGCCGACCAGGTCGATGATCGCGATCTAAACCGTCGTTTAGAACACCACCTCAAAGTGAAAGCACCAGCGTCATCAGAGGTCAGCTTCAATAGGGACGGCATATGTGCCACCCACCTCACTACTTCTTAGAGTGAGTGTGAGCACCAAGAGCCTTAAATTGTAGCTTCAGATGATGATAAACTAGTAGTGGGAAAGAGGGAAGACCTACAGTCCAAGAGGATAAATGATCCATCTAGGATCAGGACTCCTCAAGCCACCATTTCTCCTACTCTAGCCCCAGAGCAGGCTATTGTCCTAGCAGCACCTGTACAGGGTCCTCCTCCCAAGTCAATGAACAAATTAAAGACTTAGGGGGGTAAGGACAATTATTGAGGAGAAGCATCTATCCACAGATGGGGTAATTGACGGGTACCCAGAGATAATGTGTTGTATAAAGTCACACAGGGTCCAGCTATTCACTAGACCTCGAGGATCTTATATCCCAAATTGAGTATGGGAATCTACACTTCCTATGGAGCATTGATACCACAAAGAAAGAAGAAGGCAGCGGTATTCCAACTGGGTGATCATGTAGTTGTCCGGGGCAAGAAAGTGTTGTATGACATTACTACGATTAATGAGGTTCTGGAGTGCACTAACAACATTGATGACGCTCACCAGTATAGGATGAAGACTAAGTCCTTTGAGGGAATAAAAAGCTAGGTCGCCCGTCTCATATGTGATGGCGCTCTAAGGTGGTTAGATGAAGGCGTCCTGATAGAGAATAGGGACTTACATGTAGTTGCTAGATACTGGTTTGGCTTTATTAGCAGTACTGTTATGCCATCCGAGAATAAATTCGTCCTTCACCACTCAAAGGTAGCTTGTCTTGGCACAATCATTGCAAGGGAGCAAATTAATTTGGGGAAGATCGTTAAGTAGGAGATGGTCATGAGGTCCAAGAAGAGCCATACCACACTTACCTTCCCTGTGTTTATCACCGAGCTGTGCAGACTGGCTCGGGTTCCTGGAGATGAAAAGAAGGATGTCGAAGTAATTCCCACATCCTCTACCAATATTCGGACGATTAAGGCAGAGTATCTAAAGGATCAGGCAGAGAAGAAGGAGAAGAATCCCCGGTGGACTCTTCCCTGGTTGTGGACACATACTTCCTACCTGCAGAGGCAGCTTTACCTACTCTGGCCCCTCGGCCTTCAGGTACCTTTACTGTTGCTCCTTCTGATAATCCAAGTTCTTCTGTTGCTGCACTGCCTCCTAGACATGCTGTTGTTGTTTTTCGAACTTCGGTCACTCAAGCTTCTATATTACGGATGGGCAAACTTGCCCATTCTGCGGATAATCGGGCTTCCAGACTCGAGAACTCCATTCTGGGCATGATCCAGATTACCCTAGCTGATGCTGTGACAACATTGAGCGCTGCCATTGATGCCCTTGTGGCAACAATATCGGTGTGTGAGCGTGGCCAAAGGGACACTGAAGAGGTGACGACTTTGAAGGCCGTTATTGTTGTGTTGAGAAGTGATGTGGATCAGCTGAAGTCCACCGACATGCCAAAGATTTTTTTTGGGATGGTAGAGATCCCAGATGTGTCAGATAAGCGTCTGGCTACCATCGGAGATAAGGTTAGAGTTGAGGAGACAACTAATTTGGAGTCTGAGGCAGAGACTGATGATGAGATGCTTCAGTTGGTTGAGGAAACTTTGTATGATGGCCTTACAGAGACTGAGGAAGCTATGGTAGATGCAGTTGTGCAGGCTTCTTTGGTGGATACACCCTTGGTTGATCCTAATACAGCTGCTATTCCTTCTTAGGTGACTCTGAGAACTGATACCCAAGTCCATATTGATACACCGGGCTCTTATGTCTAGACAGATGGAGTGACTATGTAGATATGATCCCTTCTTTACCTCCCTCTTTGTATTACTTTTGTTTTTAATTTTGCTCTTGCTAATCATAGTGAAACTTGCTTAATTTTATTTTGCTTTGCTTGTTTTTGTGTGAAAATAGGATAGTAAACGGTAGCAATGGCCATCAAGATGACATTGGAATCCTTAACGATGTCAACGAGCCTAATGATAAAGACTCCCATCTTCTGGGTGGTATTGGTGTCATTCGCTTGCCTCCGGCCGAAGGCAATACAATGTTCCACATCACAAGTACTATGTTACAACTCTTGCATCTAAAGGGGCTTTTCAGTGGTTTGGCTCATGAGGATTCACATGAGCATAATAGAAATTTTGTGGGTGTATGTAGACCGTTCTTTTTCAAGAACATCTCCCAAGAGTAGGTCCGGTTGAGGTTGTTCCGGTTCTCTTTGATGGGATAAGCATACAAGTGGGTGGCTAAATTGCCACGTAAATCAATCACTTCATAGAAGGAGTTGGTTACTTCATTTCAAGTGCGATTTTTTCCTCCCTCGAAGATGATGACTCTTCGGGATAGCATTCAGAGCTTCAAGCGTCTAGAAGGTGAACCAATCCATGAAACTTGGCTGCGATTGAAGAAGTTGGTGCGTCAATGCCCAACTCATGGCTTGCCTGACAGCATGTTGCTGCAGTTTTTTTTCCGGAGTCTTTATTCGGTACATAAGGGTATTGCTGACCAACGTTCTCCGGGAGTTTTGATGTAGCAACCTTATATGATAGCGACTCAGCTCTTGGATGGCATGACTGCCATAAACAGGGCGTGGTATACCCAGAGCAGCCTATAGTCCTAGCACCTCCTGTACAGGGTCCTCCTCCCAAGTCAATGAACAAATTAAAGACTGAGGGGCTAAGGTCAATTATTGAGGAGAAGCATTTGTCCACAGATAGGATAATTGACAGGTACCCAGAGATAATGTGCTGCATAAAGTCACACAAGGTCTAGCTATTCACTAGACCTCGAGGATCTTATATCCCAAATTAGGTATGGGAATCTACATTGCTTATGGAGCATTGATACCACAAAGAAAGAAGCAGGCAGCAGTATTCCAACTGGGTGATCATGTAATTGTCCGGGGCAAGAAAGTGTTCTATGACATTACTACTATTAATGAGGTTCTGGAGTGCACTAACAACATTGATGACGCTCTCCAGTATAGGATGAAGACTAAGTCCTTTGAGGGAATAAAAAGTTATGTCGCCCTTCTCATAGGTGATGGCACTCCAAGGTGGTTAGAGGAAGGGGTCCTGATAGAGAAGAGGGACTTACATGTAGTTGCTAGATACTGGTTTGGATTTATTAGGAGTACTGTTATGCCATCCTTGAATAAGTTCGTCCTTCGCCACTCAAAGGTAGCTTGTCTTGGAACGATCATTGCAAGGGAGCCAAATAATTTGGGATGATCGTTAAGTAGGAGATGGTCATGAGGTCCAAGAAGCGCCATACCTCACTTCCCTTCCTGGTGTTAATCACTGAGCAATACAAACTGGCTCGGGTTCCTAGAGATGAAAAGAAGGATGTGGAAGTGATTCCCACATGCTCTACCGATATTAGGAGGATCGAGGCGGAGAATCTAAAGGATCAGGTGGAGAAGCAGGCCCGGTGGACTCTTCCCTGGTTGTGGACACATACCCACTACATGCAGAGGCAGTTTTTCCTACTCTGGCCCCTCAGCCTTCAGGTACCTCTACTGTTGCTCCTTCTGATACTTCAGGTTCTTCTGCTGCTACACTACCTCCTAGACATGCTGTTGTTGTTTCTCGAACTCCGGTCACTCAGGCTTCTATATAGAGAATGGGCAAGCTTGTCCATTATGCTGATCATCGGGCTTCCAGACTCGAGAACTCCATTCTGGGCATGATCTTGACTGCCCGAGCTGATGCTGTGACAACATTGAGCGCTGCCATTGATGCCCTTGTGGCAACGATATCGGTGTGTGAGCGTGGCCAAAGGGACACCGAAGAGGTGACAACTTTGAAGGCCGTTATTGTTGTTTTGAGAAGTGATGTGGATCAGCTGACGTCCACCGACATGCCAAAGATTTTTGGGATGGTGGAGATCCCAGATGTGCCAGATAAGCATCTAGCTACCACCGGAGATAAGTGTAGAGTTGAGGAGACAACTAATATGGAGTTTGAGGCGGAGACTGATGAGGAGATAATTGAGGTGGTTGAGGAAACTTTGTATGAGGGCCTTACTGAGACTGAGGAGGCTATGGTAGATGAAGTTGTGCAAGCTTATTTGTTGGATACACCCTTGGCAGATCCTAGTGCAGTTGCTATTCCATCTTAGGTGACTCCGGGAACTAATACCCAAGTCCATATTTATGCACCGGGCTCTGATGTCTAGACAGATGGAGTGACTGAGTAGATATGATCCCTTCTTTACCTCCCTTTCTGTCTTAGTTTTGTTTTGAATTTTCCTCTTGCTAATCATAGTGATACTTACTTAATTATAGTTTTTCTTTGCTTGTTTGTGTGTGAAAATAGGAAGTATGATAGTGAACGGTAGCAATGGCAGCCAATGGCCATCAAGATGACATTGGAAACCTTAACGATGTCAACGAGCCTAATGCTAATGACTCCCATCTTCTGGGTGGTATTGGTATCATTCACTTTCCTCCGGCCGAAGGAAATAAGGTTTTCTACATCACAAGTACTATGTTGCAACTCTTGCAACTAAAAGGGCTTTTCAGTGGTTTGGCTCATGAGGATTCGAATGACCATATTAGAAATTTCGTGGGTGTATACGGACCGTTCTTCTTCAAGAACATCTCTAAAGAGTAGGTCCGTTTGATTTTGTTTTTGGGGGTTGCGGGGTTGAATTCGAGATGTTGGACTGAAAGTTGGCACGTTGGGTCGTTTGGCGAGCTGGGTCGAGCTCGCTGAACCACTCAATGCTTCGCCGAAGGTCCCCTCTCACCCTTAATTTCATGCTATACTTGTAGTTTGACTCTTTAATCTTGGGTAGAAGATTGACGCGCCGAAAGAACTCGTTGACTCGCCGAAAGTCCTCTTGTTTGCCCTTTGCCTCCACCCATGTAGATTAAATTGTACTGTAACTTTCAGTACGCTAATCCTTGCTCACCGAATGATGTCGATGATCCGCCAAAAGGTTTTCCCATCGTCGACTTGCAAAAATTATTTTGAGAATTTTGAGCCAATTCTTTCGGCGAGCCCGATCTAGTTCGCCAAAGTGATTTGATGACTTGCCGACCTGTTCGATGAGTCTGTCTGCAATTATCCTGATGGTTTGTATACATGGCTAGACCAAAGGTTGCAGGTAGAAAAATGTCACCCCGAAAGAAGGCTTAGTGGGTAACACAAAATGAGGATGCAGCCGCATCTAGGGTCAAGGCCACCACACTTCCCATGACTCCTCAGGCCACCATTTCTCCTACTCTAGCCCCAGAGCAGGCTATAGTCCTAGCACCTCATGTACAAGGTCCTCCTCCCAAGTCAATGAACAAATGAAAGACTGAAGGGCTAAGGACAATTATTGAGGAGAAACGTCTATCCACGGATGGGGCAATTGACAGGTACCCAGAGATAATGTGCTGCATAAAGTCGCACAAGGTCCAACTATTCACTAGACCTCGTGGATCTTATATCCCAAATTGGGTATGGGAATCTACACTGCTTATGAAGCATTGATACCACAAAGAAGGAAGCAGGTAGCGGTATTCCAACTGGGTGATCATGTAGTTGTCCGGGGCAAGAAAGTGTTGTATGACATTACTACTTTTAATGAGGTTCTGGAGTGCACTAATAACATTGATGTCGCTCACTAGTATAGGATGAAGACTAAGTACTTTGAGGGAATAAAAAGTTAGGTCGCCCCTCTCATAGGTGATGGTACTCCAAGGTGGTTAGAGGAATGGGTCCTGATAGAGTAGAGGGACTTACATGTAGTTGCTAGATACTGGTTTAGATTTATTAGCAGTACTGTTATGCCACCCTTGAATAAGTTCGTCCTTCGCCACTCAATGGTACCTGGTCTTGCCACGATCATTGCAAGGGAGCAAATTAATTTGGGGATAATCGTTAAGTAGGAGATGGTCAAGAGGTCCAAGAAGCGCCATACCTCACTTCCCATCCCGGTGTTGATCACGGAGTTATGCAGATTGGCTCAGGTTCCTAGAAATGAAAAGAAGGATGTGGAAGTGATTCCCACATCCTCTACCGATATTCGGAGAATTGAGGCGGAGTATATAAAGGATCACGCGGAGAAGCAGCCCTGGTGGACTCTTCCCTGGTTGTCGACACAAACTCACTACCTGCAGAGGCAATTTTGCCTACTCTGGCCCCTAGGCCTTCAGGTACCCTTTACTGTTGCTCCTTCTGATACTCCAGATTCTTCTGCTGTTGCACTGCCTCCTAGACATACTGATGTTGTTTCTCGAACTCCGGTCACTCAGGCTTCGATACTACGGATGGGCAAGCTTACCCATTCTGCTCATCGAGCTTCCAGAATCGAGAACTCCATTCTAGGCATGATGCAGACTGCCCTAGCTGATGCTGTGACAACATTGGGCGCTGCCATTGATGCCCATGCGGCAACGATATCGGTATGTGAGGGTGCCCAAAGGTACATCAAGTAGGTGACGGCACTGAAGGCCGTTATTGTTGTGTTGAGGAGTCATGTGGATCAGCTGAAGTCCACCGACATGTCCAAGATTTTTGGGATGGTGGAGATCCCAGATGTGCCAGATTAGAGTCTGGCTACCACCGGAGATAAGGGTAGAGTTGAGGAGACAACTAATCTGGAGTCTGAGGCAGAGACTGATGAGGAGATGCTTGAGGTGGTTGAGGAAACTTTGTATGAGGGCCTTACCGAGACTGAGGAGGATATGGTCGATGCAGTTGTGCAGGCTTCTTTGGTGGATACAGCCTTGCCTGATCCTAGTGCAGCTGCTATTCCTTCTTAGGTGACTCCGGGAAATGATACCCAAGGCCATATTGATGCACCGGGCACTGATGTCTAGACAGATGGAGTGACGGAGTAAATATGATCCCTTCTTTACTTCCTTCTCTGTCTTACTTTATGTTTTGAATTTTTCTCTTGCTATCATAGTGATACTCACTTAATTTTAGTTTTGCTTTGCTTGTTTGTGTGTGAAAATAGGAAGTATGATAGTGAGCGGTAGCAATGGCAGCCCATGGCCATCAAGATGACATTGGAAACCTTAACGATGTCAACGAGCCTAATGCTAATGACTTCCATCTTCTTGGTGGTATAGGTGTCATTCGCTTGCCTCTGGCCGAAGGTAATACAGTGTTCCACATCACAAGTACTATGTTGCAACTCTTGCAACTATAGGTTCTTTTCATTGGTTTGGCTCTTGAGGATTCCCATGAGCATATTAGAAATTACGTGGGTGTATGCGGACCGTTCTCCTTCAAGAACATCTCCCAAGAGTAGGTCCGGTTGAGGTTATTCCGGTTCTCTTTGATGGGAGAAATATGCAAGTGGCTGGCTGAATTGCCACATAAATCAATCACTTCATGGAATGAGTTGGTTACTTCATTTCAAGTGCGATTTTTTCCTCCCTCGAAGATGATAACTCTTCGGGATAGCCTGACAACGTGTAGCATAAAGGTGTTGCTGACCAACGTTCTTCAGGAGGTTTGATGTTGGAACCTTATTTGATAGCGGCTCAGCTCTTGGATGGCATGACTGCCATAAACAGGGCGTGGTATACCCATGAAGACGAGGTCGTCCCTCTCGCGTTTAAATTGATCAACAACAAATGTAGAAAGACCAAGAGAGGGACAAGAACATGGCCAAGATCATGACACAACTTGACATTTTGTCCAAAAATGTAATCGGGGACGTTGCTTGAGCTGTCAATGTCGTGGGTATCGGGTGTGCTAATCATGAAGAGGCAAAATTGGAAGCTTTGTGCAATGAAGAGGTGAATTTCCTAGCCAACCAAGGCAGTTGTTATCGTTCAAACTAACCAAGGCAGCGTGGTACCCAAGGTTGGAGCAGGGATGAAGGTTGGAAAGATCGTGACCGAGAATGGCGGGACCGAAACCCCAATTTGAAGGATGGGGAGAAAGATTGATATGTGCCTCCCCACGAGCGCCAAAAGCCAAAGGATTTAAAAGGTGGTTGGTCTAAGGATATGTTTTCTCGTATCCTCAACAAAGTTGAGTGGTCAGACAAGATCTTGAAAGAGATGAAACAATGTGTGCCGACCCTTAGCCAGACCATCACTTCCCATTCAGTGTAGATGGAGTAGTTGAAAACCCAAATGGGTCATATCTCGTCCTATATATACACGAGACAGCAAGAGGGGTTGCCTAATGACACTATGGTTATCCCCAAGAATGAGGTTTGAAGGTGAACTTGCGTCGTGCCACAAATGTTAACTAAGGAGCTTCTTTGGAGGCAACCCAAGTTTTATTTTCTTTCTTTTTAAGTTTGCAATAATGGTAAGTTGAATGTGTATGTCAAAGTGTGTGAAAAGTGCAAGTTGGCGAGCTAGATGTCTAGTCGATGGATCGCCGAAGAGGTCGGCGACCACAACCCAGACCGTCGTTGGACTAAAGACAATTTTACATTGGAGTCTATAAAACTCGGTGAGCCAAGGAAATTATGGCATGTCACCGACCAGGTCGGTGATCGCGATCTTAACCGCCGTTTATACCCCCACCTCAACTTAAGGTCCTCAAAAACCTGACGACGTAAGTGAACATTTGGCGTGTCGCTGAGTGGGTCAGCGAGCACGATGAACGTCCCCTAATGGGTGAGAACTGGACGATTTTTAAAAGGCCAAAGGTTTAAACTTCCAACTTTTTCACTTTCCCTTACTTTTGAACTTCACAAACTCACACCCACACTTTAGTTTCAATATTTTTTTTGTATTTTAGAGTATTTTAGTCATTGATTTATGCTCGGATTAGGACTACATTGCCGACTAGCATTTCAATCTTTTCTTTATCGGCATTTAAGGTTGGGTCATTTGGCGAGCTGGGTCGAGCTCGCTGAACCACTCGATGCTTCGCCAAAGGTCCCCTCTCATCCTTAATTTCATGATATACTTGTAGTTTGACTCTTTAACTTTTGGCGAGAAGATTGACGTTGCCAAAAGAACTCGTTGACTCGTCGAAAGTCCTCTTGTTTGCCCTTTGTCTGCACCCATGTAGCTTAAATTGTACTGTAACTTTCAGCAGTCTAATCCTTGCTCACCGAATGATGTTGATGATCCGTCAAAAGGTTTTCCCATCATCGACTTGCAAAAATTCTTGTTAGAATTTTGAGCCAATCCTTTCGGCAGACAAGATCTA